TCTTCCGATGTGATAGAAGAGATGTCTCTCTGCTGAGCATAAGTAAACTCTCATATGCTACTAATAAAAACATGTTCTGTGGCCTTCCTTTTTGTTTTCTGGAAAATTACTTGTCTGGGAAAATGGGACTCCTAGTTATTGAGGTCCCTACTGACCAGAGGAAGGGGCTTGGCAGAAATGCCCTAGAACATCTGTCACTCATTGAACTGACTTCAGAAGCCTTCAAAACAAGACACAAAAAGGAGCGTATGAACAAAACCTAATTCTGAGTGTGAAACTGTTCAGGTAATGATATTTCAGCACCTGGAGAAGCTCACTGAGCAAAAAAATAGCAGCTTTTATGCGTGCTGTCACAACACAGTTTTCTAAGTCACTGACAGACTTTCCTATATAGGTAATAGTCCCGTAGGGATACACTGCCCTAAAGAGTAACTTCAGGAGGTTTGTCACAGGGATATGTTTACTTCCAGACATGTACAGCACTCACCTTCCCTCCATCAGCATTATACTCCTTCTCATCCCCTTCCAAAAGTCTGGCCAAGCCAAAGTCAGTGATCTTCACATGGTTTGGTGATTTCACCAAGACGTTACGGGCTGCCAAGTCCCGGTGGACAAGTCTCCTCTCTTCCAGGTACATCATTCCCTGAAGGACACAGAACAGTAAAATAATCTCAATGAGTCTTACATGATTTTTAGAACTACTTTTCACTGGTAACATGTAAAATTCCTGTTTCCCTTAGCAGTATTCACAATACGAAAATGGCCTGGAGAGCAGAAGTTCAACGCTGCCCTTGCTCTGAGCAGGAGGTAGGATTAGATGACTTTAGGTTCCTTCTAATGCGAATGACTCTATAAGATTCTATGGTAAGTGCCAAAGGAGAAAAACCAACAAAAAAACCACATAGATACCTCCTCTGCTCCAGCAAGTTTAAAATCTGGAAATGTGAGGCAAAGAAAAGAAGTATTAAGGCCCTTATTTTTCAGACAGGAAATCTGAAGACCATAAAAAATAATCAACTGATCCAGAACCCCACAAGAAATTAGTCCAGACTGGGAAACAATTCCAGCTCTTCTACGTTCCAGGCAAGTGTCTGCAATTCAAGATGAAGCTTCTTATCCATCTCCAAATGCTTTTAAGTTGGACACAAATTTTCACTACCCTCAGTGGATTAGAAGGAAAGCAATCCTTTATTCCAAGTACTGCAGCCCACTTGCCTTTTCACTCCCTTAAAATTTTGCATGTAATATTATAAGAAGACACTAGATCAATGGCCATTTTTTTTGAGAGCATATATATTCTGTTAGAAGTACTTTTGTTAACAAGACCATGCAGCTGCCTTTAAAGATAAGGTCTCAAGCTGCTTGGCCTTAACCTTATTCTTACTCTGATGAGAGACAAATCATCTACCACCAGTATGGAAGTTTACATGATGCTTTGTGACACCAAGATGAACACCAAAGCTTGGTCTTATTAATTATATGACACACAAAGGATAGTCAGGCAGGGTTACAAGCCTGTAATTTCATCAAAAGGCTTTTATGACATTAACCATCACTGTAAGAACCTAGAGATGAAATTACACACTTGATAATTACCCTTAAGGTATCTCTTAATATATTAGCTCTATGATATATATGGTAATTTTTTAAAAGTCATTGTTGAATACCGAAGAGATCATATTATCCCATAATACAGATGATAATTCAGAGAGTCACAGGTAATGATTAAAGTAACCAGATTACTCAGAGTCATGGGCCAGATTTTATTCTCTTTCACAGTACAAGAAGCTCACATGTACCTATTCCCATACATACCAGAAGGACTATGCATATGGGTAAGCCACCACTCATGGTCACTGGGCCAGAATGTAGCCCTTTCTTGCCAGAAACTGGATGTCTTTACAAAAAGCATTAAGTGGAGCTCTGAACTGCTGTGGTTTTTAAGTGAAAAATTTCAGTGCAAACACCGCTAAAAGGTTTGAAAATATGTAGTAGAACATTTGGCATAAATACTATTTCATTTTTAATGTGGTAGGCTTTGCTGCAGTCAACATGAAAGTGGTTTGAAAGGGGACATAGGGACTCTTTGGCATAAAGCAAATGGAATTATTTTTAAAAGCACTGCTAGTTGAAGCAAACACACCCTCCTGCCAACTGCAAATCAATACTTCTGGCTGTTGAACATCAGAACTGTAAGTCTTTGGAAGCATAATGTTTTTTGACATCAAATTAAAACCTGTAGAAAAAGGAAAAATAAATCTCATAGGTCGAACAATCATGAGTCACAGAACAAACACACCATGAAACCAGATGCACTATGACTTAGCGCAAGAATTATCATCTGAAGTAATCCAACCAGAAAAAGGTGACACAGTCAATAGCAATGACACTGTATAATAAAGGAAAAACAACCACAAAAGCGGACCTGTAAAATTCAGACAGACTGGGAATCCACATAGATCCTGTTTCACATCTCCAACACTGAACAGTAACCAGAAAGCACTTCAAGGCACTGTCAACACTGCTCCTACCAAGTACTCTGGGAAGTAGGTGCACTACAGCAACCTCTCAGTCTCATGTCCCTCCCCTTCATGTGGGGGTCTTGCAGTCAGTCTGATGGGATGTCTGCACATAGGTGTCAACCAACCTGTCTGGATGTGCCTCAAAGCCACTGAGAAAGCACCATGCCTGTGCTGTGTTGGGCTGAACGGCGCATGCAGGCATCCAGGGCTCTGCATGCTTTGTGGAGCAGTCTCTGGGTCACAATCACACGTCCAGCTTTGCTGCTCTTACAGATAGTGAATCTAATCTTAAGGGTGGCTTCAGGGTGCCATTAAATATACCACATAGTCATTACTCACACATCTAAAATTATACTGGTTCTTTGCAATTTCTGAAAGCGCTGCCCTTGAAACCAGGATTGCAGTCATGTGCAGACAGGCGCCCTTGTGCTTCCCCCAAACATTTTTCTCCTGCAGCTCTCCATCTCTGCCAGCTTCCACAGGATTAAGCACCTCTCTTCCATCTTGCATCTTTCACTGCAATAGAGCTCCTCCCTGAACAAAGAGTCTCAAGGTGCTGCTTACACTTCCTTTCTACTTAGTTTAGGAAATATCTCAAATTTTTAGAATGGTCAGAAATACTTCTCAAACTTCAGAGATTTGACATAACTTCCAATATCCTTACTTGGTCAAAATTCTCAGTATCTCAGGATAGGAGGGGTGAGGGTGGGGGGGTGGGCTGCGGGGCAGGCAGAGAAAGGTCCAAACCTGCAAACAGATCTTCGTGGGCTGAATCTGATGAAGACACAAGAACCCAGAGAATTCGATGAGGGAATTCTGTTGATATCAAAATACATTAGGCCCAAATAAAATTGTTATTTTTAATAGATTAATTTGTACCTATTGGCAATGAAATGATATGAAGATACTGGAGATTCATTTTAGCATAAATGAAGAAACAGAATTTCTGTCTTGTTAAAATCAAAACAGATGACTGGCACTAAGACTTTAGCCTCCCATCTTTAGCTAATGATGGCAGGAATGGATGGTAAGGTGTCCAGAAACATCCTTCACTGAAAGAGTTAAACAATCAAACCCTTAACCATGCCTCCTTGGTCTTATTTTACCTTCTCTACATATTTAATTTCCAAGCACTTTTTAAACATGTAGGCTAACACTTTAGGATGTTTCACTGTTTATTCTACTCATTCATTTCCATTTATTTCTATCTTGTGGTATTACTTAATATCTTCTTAGTAAGATTATATTTCATTCAACCTAACCTCATACTCTCTTACGAACGAGAAAGATGTCTAACCACCAAGCCGAACACTGCTCCTAACCAATACCAAACCTGGTTTTATTTTCTATTCAGAAAGAGGGTAGAAATAGCTGTCTGCATATTGTTGTACTTACAGTTTATTGTACCTCCGTCAAACAAGTTTCTCAGGGCTTTTTCCCACCTATGTTATCTGCAAAGCTAAAAGCAACCCATGTAGAGTTGACAGCTACAAAATCCTCTGCAGGTTCATGACCTGCAGAAATGTAAATCCTCTTAGGAATATCCAGTGTAAACATGTTGGATTTTCCTGATATCCTATCAACAATTTTTAAAGGTGGATGGTGGATGTATAAGAGAAAAGGTGTATATATATGTATATGCTTTCAATAAATGAGATTATACAAGCAGAATGAAAACTACCTAAAAATGGGAAACCTACAGTATTCACTGCAGCAACACTGTCTAAACATATACTGTGCCAAGAATCATCATTTGAAGGCATTTTTGAACCTGGCAGGAAAAGTGTTCTATATGCATCTTTAAGCTTTTTACATGGCACACAAGGAGGATAACAAAAAAGTACTCTCTGTATTACACAACTGGTGCCATCACCATCCCACAAGCCCATGATCAAATACCAAGAGGACATTTTATGAGAGTTACAAGACAGAACTACAAGTGACCCTGGACCCTGACAATGGAAAGGGGTCTGTTTGTAAAAATGACACTTTGAAGCCCGATCCAAAAGACACCGTGCTGTGCCATTTGAGGTGTGATCTGTGAGGCTGGGGAAATGAAGCACTCTTCAGGATTTGTCCAAATCAGAGCTATGCAGATCCCATAAAATTATCGAAGCATGTAATGTCCAGATAACAAGAAACCCCACACTTTAGTATATGTGCTGGAATATTCACAATAGGGTGGGACTTTTATGCTGACACCATTGAGTGGAAAAAGTTTAACATTAAGGATCAGTTGTCCCATTATATCTGAGCCCAGATTCATCTCACAAACACAAGAATCAGTCGTGACCTACCGTCACTGGTACTTCCTCATCGCAGTCATGGCAAAAGTTTCCTCATTAGAAATGCAATTACTGCTAGGACCCCTTAACAGAAAACCACTCTCTGAATCAGCACCTAATGCTATTAAGAAGTCAAACAGCCACTGCAAACAGCTGTAACACAGAGAAGTTGAGGAAGTCCCTTTGGAACTTCAGGATGAGCGAGGAATAGCCTTTTATCTTTCACAACTGTACTCTTATCCTCACCCAGTGCCTGAGTCACATACAAAGACAAATGTGTGCTATATGGATCTTTATGCAGACATACATAGCAGTAAAACCGTTGGTAGCCTAGATCCCTTCTATCTGTGTGATTATGCAACTGTGAAAATGTAAATTCTCCTTTCAGAAGCAGACAGAAATGCCCTTGCCAAGACTTCGATTAGACTTAAAGGTCTTTTATCCTTGCCCACACAACTATTAACCTGACCTGCCCACGTGTTTATGCATTACACACAAGGCTTGCAAACAGCACCCAGGGAAACTAATAGTAATGCTGAGGGGTAGAAGAATAGGCTTGTAATAGGGCAAAACAGCTTTGTTCTAAGAAGGGAGGTGGACAGAGAAGATGTAAATGGCCACTAGGAGCTTAACTCCAGTAAGAATTTCCTACCTGTCACTTTTCAGCCTTGAGAATTTTCTGTCTAATAACTAGGGGGAAAAAAATCAGCAGTTCTACTAGCTGAGGTGAATTCTGCTCTCTACCCATCAGATTACTCTTGGAGCTGGCTAGAAACAACAGAGAACAAAAATGAGCTTGCTCAATAGACTAAAAGTTAGTAATTAAGAGCTATAAAAGAAGGAAGTCTTTCCCAGTTTTATTGTGGAGTGTTTGTGAAGTCTCCAGGATTGCAGAAGGACAGATTCGATAT